GGGTACCACTAAATCACCCTCCTCGGGGACCTCTTCCCTGGAGTGAGAGACATTCAGAGATGACCCAGCTCTGCTCAGAGTTTTCTGTGACTGTGTGAGTAAGTTTCTGAATCACATAAGGGTTTCCTGAGTAGAACCCCAGCAAATGTCAAACTTCTTGGCATCTCCTCCAACCAGGGCCATCAGACTTTTCTTTGTTTTTTTTTTTTTTTTCTTTTATGAGACAGAGACTCACTCTGTCACCCTGGGTAGAGGGCTGTGTGTCATAGCGCACAGCAAACTCAAACTTTTGGGCTCAAGAGATCATCTCACCTCAGCCTCCTGAGTAGCTGGTACTACAGGTGCCCACCACAACACTCGGCTAGTTTTTCTAGTTTAGTAGACATGGGGTCTGTCTCTTACTCAGGCTGGTCTCAAACTCCAAGTTCAAGCAATCCACCCTGCTCAGCTTCCCAGAGAGCTACAATTACAGATGTCAGGCACAGTGCCCAGCCAGAGCCATCAGATTAAACAGGGAATCTGTGCCTCTTAAGAATCTTCCCAGAGTGACATTTCTAAAGACAAAAATGCTCCCTCCCTGGCCACACCCCAGCTCTGCCACCTCTTGGCCTGTGGCCTCCCTGCGCCCTGCCTTCTAGAGATGTATCATCCTTGGAAGGGAGAAGAACTTGAGCTTCCTGGGGGCCAAGCACTGCCTGTGTGTTCCTGGCTGTTTCCACACCACCCCAGTGGAGCCAGCACACAGTAGGTTCTCAGTGGGTGCCTGCTACATGAAGGGGAGACTCGGCCTCCCTGAGGGGAAAGTGCTCTCTGGGGCAGTAGGTGAGGTGTGGCCTGTGCCTTGGATGCCACTCAATCTGTCACTTCCCTGTTCCCCAGAACCAAAGGGCAGGCCAGTCTGGGAAGGGCAAGGTCTGGAGAGCCAGGCCGGCGGGGCGTGCAGACTTTCCTGCAATTTACTAGCTGTGGAGCCGTGAACAAGTAGGATGATGTCTACAGGCCTCAGTGTCCCCCATCTGTACAGGGGGTGACATCAGATCATGAAAATGAGAACCCTCCACCCTGATTGTCGCTCAGACTGGAGGGCATTATTATTGACTCATTTTATATTTTATTTCTCTATTTATTCATTTATCTGTCACCCTGCTATAGTGCTATGGCATCACCATAGCTCACAGCAACCTCAAACACTTGAGCTCAACTAATCCTCCTGCCTCAGCCTCAGGAGTACCTGGGACTACAGGCACTCGCCACAATGCCTGGCTAGTTTTTCTATTTTTATTAGAGATGAGCTCTGGTTCTTGCTCAGGCTGGTATACAACTCCTGAGCTGGGGATCTTGCCACCTTGGCCTCCTAGAGTGCTAGGGTTATAGGCATGAGCTACTGCTCCCTGCCACTGCTGACTCATTGTCACACCCCAGGGGACAGAAGAGGTCTCCACTGCACTCACCACTCACAGACACCTCAGTGCCTGGTCCAGACTTGAGCTCCACGTTTTCAGGAGTTGCTCTCCGGAACTTCACACAGTAGTAGGTGCCGGCGTCTGCTGGGGTGATGTTACTGATGCGGATGGAAAAGTCCATGTTGTCTCTCTTTGTAACATCTATGATACTTGTTACCCGGGAGGAGTGGACTTTTTGACTGTAGATCAATTCTCTATCTCGCCCAGTCCCCTTGAACCAATTGATGGGCCCCACGGGGACTGGGGAGGTCATGGTGCAGCGCAGAGTGGCCGTTTCTCCAGCAGTGACAGACACTGACCTGTCAGGCTGAATCACCTGCAGCTCCTCTCCTCCCACCCCTGGAGGGAAACACAGAGCAGTCGTTTATCCACCTATGTGACTCTGCACGTGTTCTCAAGTGTCATTAACATCATTTGCTTTCTGCGTGCACACCTGGAGCAGGCCTTGAGCTCAGTACAAAGTATGGACTATCTCAGTTAATCCTCACACAAATCCTGTGACATGAGAGGTTGTTACAGTGTCCTCATTTGAAATGAGAGGTTATGCTTCATGGTAGAGTGTGGTTTGAGCACCTAGGGAGCTCCTCAGCCTTCTCCCTCTCTGGAGATATGACATTTCACCCAATATTTGTGCTTTTCCATTTTCTAGCCACATGGGGAATTTAGAACTTTCTGGACCTCTGCATTGGCCATGAGATTCCTTTGTCCCAGGGGTATCTAACCGTTTGGATTCTCTGTGTAACACTGGAAGAAAAGGAGTTATCTTAGGCCACACATTAAATACACCAACACTACTGAAAGCTGATGATTAGAAAAAAAATCCATGCATAATTTTCATGGTATTTGCCACCGCAGATAAGCAAAAAGTCCTCACATAATCCACATGCAGTATGCGGGCCATAGGTTGGATACCCCTGCATGTTGTGAGCAGACGTGATAGGTTTAGTCTGTGAGCTATGCCCGTAACTGTAAGACCCTCTATGGATCAACTTCTTCCTTCCGCAGAGACCCACAAAGCCTTGACAAGCTTGATTCCCAAGAGAGAATGCAGACCCCCCCAATGCACAATGGATATGTGGCTTCCATAAGGACTACGACATTGTATTAAACCCCTGGAATTTTCTCTCCATAGAATAATCATGTTATATTAGTAGTCCCAAAGCCACTGTGACAAATTATAATGAACCTAATGGCTTACAAGAGACATTTATTATTTTATAGTTCTGAAGGGCAAAAGTTCAAAATTGGTCTTACTATGATACAATCAAGAAAAAAGAGTAGAAAAAAATCAAACACACAGAGAGAATAAAACTGATTACCTGAAATAGGATTGGGAAAGAAGATAGAGACATGTAAGCCCAAAGATGCAAAGTTGCAGATAGGTAGGATGAAGAAGTCCAGAAAGTTCTATGTACAACATGTGGACTATAGTTAATAATAATAATATAGTACCGTACTCACTATTTTTGCTTATAGATTAGATTTTAAGTGTTCTTGACATGCACACACAAAAAGTTAATTATAGGAGTTACTGAATATGCTTCTTTGCTTGTTTATAGTAACCATTTCATTATATAGCTATATATATCAAAATATCCTGTTTTACATCTTAAATGTATAAATGAAAAAAATGGCATCAGTAGAGCTCCATGTCTTCTGGAGACTCTGCTCCTTATCTTTTCACATCCTAAAGGGTTTCCACATTTCTTTTCACAGTTCCACCTTCTGGTAACTCCTACCTGTTGCTTCCATGCTCACAAGTCCTAACTCTTACCTTCCGGCCCCCTTATAAGGGCCCTTGTAATGTACTGGGTCTACCCTGACAAACCTGTCAAACAAATGTCTTAAATATGGTCAAAGAGCTAAAGGGAAACAAGAACAAGGACCTAAAGGAAATCAGGAAAAAGAAGTATTATCAAAATGAGAACATCAGCAAAGAGGTAAACATTGTACCAGAGAACCAACCAGAAATTTAGGAGCCAAAAAGCAGAATAATATAAAATTCACTAGCTGAGTTCCGTAACAGATTTGAGTAGGCAGAAGAAAGAATCAGAAAACTTGAATATGGACCTGTCAAAATGATGATTCAGCTGGGTAGAAAGAGAAAAAACAATAGAGAAAAGAGATAGAATCTGGACTTGTGGGACGTCTGCAAGTGGATGAACGTGCATCTTATGAGAACAGCACAAGAAGAAGAGAGGCAGAGAGAAAGAAGCAGAAGATGATTTGAAGAAATAATATCCCAAATCTTTCCACAGCTGATAAAATACGTGAATCTATGAAGCTGAGAGGCTGAACAAACCCTAAGTAAAATTTACTCAAAGAAACCCACATGAGACATAATGTGACATGAGACATAATATTCCAACTATTGAAGCTCAAATGAAAGAGAGAATCTTGAAAGCAGCAAGAGAGAAGGGAATCCGCACGTGAAAGAGTTCCTTCCTAAGATTACAGTTGAGTTCTTATCAGAAGCATCGCAGACCAGAAGGTAGGGATGACATATTTAATGTCCTAAAAGAAAACAAGACTGTCAACTAAGAATTCTATACCTGGTAAAACTGCCCTTCAGAAATGTGGGATAAATTAAGATATTCTGTGATAAACAAAAGCTGTGAGAGCTCATTCCTACTAACTCTGACCTAGAGGAACACTAAAGAGCATCCTTTAGGTTGAAGGAAAAGAAAGCTCCATAGTAACTTAAAGTTGTAAGGAGAAGGAAAGATTTTAGGCTATCACGTAAAATATGAAAACTTCATAATTTCCTGATGCCCTAACATCTCACAACATCCCATAAATGGGCTGTGAGCACTCTGCCTGCCCAGGTGCACCAGTGTGTTAAGGCTGGTTCCTATTATCAGTTTAGTTCCTTAACTTACCCTCCCTCATGACCCAGTGGTATTCAAATACACCAGTGAGATCCCCTCATGGCTTTCACTTGTGTCCTTCACCTTGACTCACAGTACAGGACTTGCCCAGATTCCACCCTCTCTCATTCTTCACCTACTGAGTAGAGCCTATCTGGGAGCTCTTCCTATGCAGCTCCCTGGGTGGCATGTCATGCCTCCCTCCCTAACACCTCTGAATAAACTCAATCCTTTAGTTTTTTTATACCTATATACATGTGATTTCTCTAGCCATGTTGGAATGATCTTCAAAAGACCCCATCAGAGGGACTCACTCTGCCATGTATAACACAACCGGCAACAAGGATGTGACTGTTTAAAATGAAGTGGTAACTTCCCAGGAGATGCCCTTTCACAGCTCATGGCTCACTAATTTCTGTCCTGATTAACACTCACCATTTGGAGGGATTTTTACCCTGCTGGCCTTTGTGAGCACTGCTTTGTGGGGCTGCCAAGAGTCTCCACCCTGAACCTGGGTATTTTATTTTTAAAAGGTTTCTTTAGCTGGCTGGTAGGTTCTAGATTGTGTGTCTGGTCAGGGCCTTAGGCTGCTTCTGCTCAAGTCAGAAGGTGCTTGGTGCCTATAGCTCAGCAGCTAGG